GAGTGGAGCACTTCCCTGAAGCTGGCAGAGCCTGCGCCAGCTGCCCGCCCCAGCCTCCATCCCTGCCTTCACCTCAGGGAGGAGCTGTTGCCTGCCCTAGTGAGGCTCTGCCAGCTCCGGGACACTGCTCCACTCCCTGGCCCTGACATCACGTGACTTCCTCGCTCCTTGAGGCAATGTGGGGGAGTGGAGCAGTGTTTTCAAGGCCACACTCCAGGAGAGGAGCTGAAGGTCAGCTCCCAGGCGAGGTGGGGGAGGGAGCCCGGCGTGGGCTCTGCTCCCTCCAGGGAAGTGCTCTGCTCCCCTGCATCAGGCCCAGGGAGTGCAGCACTTCCCCGGAGCCGGTGGAGCCCGCGCCAGGCTCCTGCCCCAGCCTCTCCTCGGACCTTGAAAAGGCTGTGCACGGCCACACTTTTAGTTGTGTGCGGCCGCACATGTGCACACCTTAGTGGAACCTTGGCTGCGACTCACAGTTTGGGAACTACTGCTCTAGCATCCACAAGTCTTTGCCCACAGAACAGAAATTTAACAGCTGGCAACCTTCATATCAGACACAAGCTTTACGTCACAAATATCCACCCAAATTTGGTAGTTACAATCATTTGGAAAAACTACTGTTTACTTCTTCTCTCAGTACTCTTAGGGCAAACAGAACTGCATATGCTTCATCCCCTTACTCTTATGGCTGTATGTTCCCTCCAGGTAACAGGCACTGGGGTAAAGCTTGACATTCCCCCATCATTTCCATGGTTTCTCTTGATTGTTGCAAATCTGGCATCAGAACTGAAAAAGGAAGTCTGTCTCTCCTGTGCCCTCAATAACCCCCCCCCCCCCCCCCCCCATATGCTGACATCCTGGCAATGAGTCAAGGCTGCCAGACGTGCATGGGGACAGAGGAGAAAGACTGGGGAAGAAGGAGTAGATTAAACAAGGAGTGTAGCTGGACTGGGACAGAAGGGGAGTGGAAAGATTGAAACCAACTGGGAGTTGAGGAAAGATGAAGACTGGGCTGAGAACTGGGAGGTAATGGTAAACAGAGACTACCTGAATAAGGAGACTGGGAGCCATGCAAGAGGAAAGGAGGTGGGGAGTGTATGACACAGCCTGATGACTTGGACTGGAGTGACACAGAATTGAGATCCTGGACAAGGGAACTGGGGACAAAATTATGGTGAGATAGAGCAGAAATAGGAAAGCAAGAGTAGGTAGCAGAGAAGTTTGGGTCTCAGACATGGTGCAAAGGAAGGGGATTAGGACTAGATGGGCAAGGCTAATGGGACTGGGTGAGAAGCAGGGTTTTTTGCCCAACAGAGAACATATTCCTTTTAGAGCCTGCAATGGAACTTAAGATTCTCTTGAATCATCCTTCACTTGCTGTCAGTAAATAGCAGCCCTGGCTGGAATGATCTACTTGGGGCCAGTTCTGCTTTGAGCAGGTGGCTGGACTAGATGACCTCCTGAGGTCCCTTCCAACCCTAATTTTCTAAGTCTGTGAAGCTGGCTCTCAAAGCATAGCCCTAATGCAGAAAAGGACAACTGCTCCAGTGCAGTGCTCAAGTGCCAGAGCTAGGTGATAACCAGAAGGTTTTGATTCTGCTAAATGGGTGTCAATCTGATGCTGCAAGACAGAATTTCTGCATCTTTGGCCTGATTAAAATAAGAAGAAAACAACACTCCAGCACACACAAAAATGATAAAAACTGCAATTAGGCACACACATGGGAATGCCAGAATTAAATTTGGCCTTTCTATACCTACGTATTAGGATCTGGTCTTTAATTCCAAGATCACATTCTATTTTTAACAGGTGGACTCCTCAGAGATAATGGACAACATTCATTTAATAAGGAGCTACTCATCTTGTTTTCTGTTTATTTTTGATGCATAACTACGTACTGTTTAAACATCACTCTGAAGAATTATCATCATAGGCTTTTAATGGCACTTATCAATATAGTAGCAGAGTACTTCACAAATATTAACTTAACAACACCAATGAGAGATGAAGGAGAAATATTACTGCCATTAAATAAATGGAAAGCTAAAGCACAGTAAGATTAAAGTGAAATATTTCCCCTAATGCAGGTGCCCAATTTGGAAGATTTCAGTTCTAATGTGTAGGGGAATTAGCATTATATGCCATTTACCACATTCAAAGGACATCTCCCTGGGAACTGTATTTCTGCCAACAGGACACCAGGTTCTAGCTGTGTATGCAGAAATTGGAAACTCAAGGTGTGACCACCTATAAAAAGTTTAAGTTACTAGCATCCCAAAGATGCTCTGGAAACAGAACTACTACAGTTCACAAGGACCAATTCAATCTCCTTAACCTCCTTCCTCATACACTAAATGCATTACAATTCCTGCAACAAATGAAACAGAGGTCTTACAGACAACAGCCTCCTGTACTACACACACTTCAGAGCAGTTTCATCTTCTATGTTGAATCAGGTGAAACATATTCAGTGGTCATGTACTTAAAGACTGCATCATGAGGCACAAAAGGGGGCTAAACTGAGGTTGTATAGGCTTCTTTAACTCTGGCATTTTCTAACTTTGGAGTATTTGACTTTGAAAAAGTAATAGCATCTTTTAACGTGGGAAGGTTGTGTTTATAATATAAATATATCAAGCTGCATCTGTTTTTAAGTGTACTTGCCTGTAAAATGTCTCTTCGAATAGCTCTCAAAGGATTTCCCTCTAGTGCGAGGAATTTCAAGTGAGGAAGGTTCCCCAGTGCATAAGGCAATCTGCAGATAGAGACAAAGTAACTTCAACAAAAGCATTAAATGATTAGCAATAGTCCATCACTTCATCTAGTATTCTGAATCAAGCACAAGGAAGTCACATTGTTAAAAGTAGTAGCAATTAAAATCAGGACCACAAAAACTCTTGCACAAAGTCCTTTCTTAAAAGCAAGCAAGCAAACAACAATAACAAAAGATAACTGATGCACAGAGAAAATGAAACAGTGAATTACTGTTCAAACCAAGACTAGAATCTCTATCTGTGTTTCAGTATAGATTTACATGGCTTTAATCTTACCTACTAATATCATTGTTAGCTAGGTCAAGTCGCTCCAACTTTTGAAGCAAAGTAATTTCATCAGGAAGCGATTTAAGCTTGTTATCTCTAAGCTCCAACACACAGAGAGAATTCAAATGCTTAAGGTGCTCTGTGTTTAACACTTCAATCTGATTTTCTCCAACATGTAACTCCTAAAGAAATAAAAGATAATTCACAAAAATATTATTCCAGCAAAATAAAACATATTCATTTCACAGTTGTGATGCTACCTGGAAAAAAAAGTATGGCAAACCTCCAAGTAACCTATGCCTGCAAGATTAGTTTATTTAACTATTCATGCAGGCCAAATTCCTGCAGCTAGACTGCTTCCAGTTCCTGAGCTGGTTTGTTTAAAGCTGGCTAGGGTATGTCTACGCTGCAATACATTATAACTGATATAATGCATTAATTGAGCAGTGGTCAGTCATCTTTTAAGGCTGCAAGCCAGATTGACGCAGCTTGGATCAGAGCTGGGGAAGTGCTAGAATCAGCTTCAGCCAGCATCTGTTCCCAGAAAGCAACTGCTGCCAAAGCCTCCTGCTACAGAATGCCACCGAAGTCCCATGTCTATACACTGGATCAAATGGCTCCGGGGGCCAGATTCAGCCCACAGGCCATAAGTTGCTAACCTATGATTTAAACTCTCAGAGAGAATGGTGATAGACTATTCTCTTTGGCTGCAGAGGACAAGAACAACAACAGCCTTATTTATACTGCAATTAAATCGCAAAAAAAATAAAAAATGGTTAGCTATAAAAAAGGGTAGTTAAGTACTGGAATAGTGCTTAACTTAAAGGTTACTTAGAAATTGTGGAATCATTATCCTTGGATATTAAATAAATACTTTACTGGAGTGATTTAAACATGGATGATCCTGCCTTGAGCAAGGGACTGCACTAAATTACCTCATGAGATTCCTTCCAGCCCTGTTTTTCTATGATTTTGTAAAAGGCAAAATGATCAATCTAATATATACCATCTCTAACCAACAAAGTATTTCTAGAGACCCATGTAAAAACATACAAATACTTTATATTGTTACAGCTCCATTGTAAGCGATCTAAATTATTTTATTCCCAAATTTGAAAACAGCTACAGTATATCTATTATCCTAGTTTTAGTGTTACCAAATTTAGACTGTAAAAACTAAAAAGTCTGTGCATAGTCTTACACTTACTTCATGTTTGTCATATCATTCTTCAGTATATTAATAATTTACTGAAACACAATTAAGTTACAATAACCATTACAGATCTTACCTTTAGTAATCTGCATGATGGGAATTCTGGTAAGAAATGCAATTTATTTTTTCTTAAGTAAAGCTGTTCTAAAGATGCCATGCTGGCCAATTCAGGAGGTATAGTCTCTAAGAAGTTTTTAGTGCAATCCAGTTGTTTTAAGCCTGTAAGAGTGAATTCAGGAATGAAAAATATATAAAAATCCTAAAAAGTTACCTTTACTAGAAAAGATGACAAAAAAAACATGCTTTTCTAAAATACTGTTATAAAACCAGCTGTCAGAATTTCAGAAGAAACTATTCCAAGCACCTTCAGATTTTACAAAAGCTAGGTATCTGACTATTCAGAAATAGCCTTTACCTTTTTACAGAGTTCAGTATTAAGTAGTCATGTACAAATCTTGTTTTAGAGCTAGAATATAGAGGCTCTCCGGTCCTCTATTACAAACCATGGCTAGTCTACACAGACATTTTTTATTATTTTGTCCTGACAATCTACTGTCATCTGCTCCTCTTTATGCCTCAAAAGAGAGATAGTTAGCCATATTAGCCTGAAGTCAGGTATAAGGCAGGACAGAGTAGCATGCTAGAGACTAACTGGCTCAGGGATGCATAAGTTTTTGTAGGTGACAGCCTACTTTGCCAGATGCTAGATGTAGATTTAGCTCATGAAGTAGGCTGTCACTTTCTAAAGTTTATACCTCTCTGAACCATTTAGTATTTAATGTGCCACTCTGCTCTGCCTTATACCTGTACAGTAACTAGAGTCCATATTTACTTAAACAAGTATTAAGCCTGATGATTTAAGTTGATTCAAAACTTGCTTATTCCCCCCTCTAATTCCACTGTCTCCTCTTCTGCCCTTGCTTTCCTATGCAAGTGCTGTAAGGAAAACAGTTAGTTAGTTGGCAGGTTGTCTATTACAAAGTTTTGTCAAAGCCATTAGACTCTACGCAGAATGAAGTTAAGTCATTCTGATTCTCTTCTTGCCCCTTCCATCAAGAACTGCTGCTGTCAGAACTTTCAATTTGATATCTATGGCTGTGTCCATGAAAGCGTAGATGTTTGTTTCCTGGGGGACACCCATGCCGCATGCCCACTGGTGCACAGCAGATTACTGAGCGTGGGGTAGGAGAGGCTGGAGCCAGCAACTGTGCTGGCCCCAGCAGCCTTACCTGGAGGTCTGGGGGCCTCCAGGACTTGAAGTGCGGTGCTCCTGAAGCTGGGAGCTTGGCCAGCAGCCAAAGCATGGCTCTAACTATACAGGCTCTGGTTCTGGGTAGTGTGTGCTGCCCCATGCACTGCTCTCCTTTTTTATGGCATGGTGTTTATTGGCACATGTACTGCCCTATTTTTTTTGGATCTCCTGAGGTCAAAAAACCCCCCACACTGCAAAGTAGCAGCATGGAGAATGACTGCATGTTTGGTGTGTGGTGCCAGACAGGTCTGCAGCACCACATACCCCACATCTGCACTTGTCTGGAGGCAGCCTATGTGTCTGTGGGCTACAACCTGATTCATCAGCCCACCATACTGAATATTAAATGCTTTCAACCCATATACTTGGTAAAATATATGATTTATTCAGCTACAATAAAAATAAACAACTTCTTTCAAGATATAAGACTGCAGCTCCACATTTGGGATATTCTAAAATGCTCTGGGAAACAGGATTACTTTTCATTGAGCAGATTTCTGCTGGCAGACTCCTTAGCTGATTCTGGGCCACGCTGAGTCGTATCAAGTTAGTTAGGGAAGCAAAACTGGTTGGAATAGTTGCAAGATGGTTGTTGGAAAGATTCTGGGAAGGAAAACAAAAACAAAAGCAAGAGAGGGATAAGAAATTGTAGACAAGCCATTCTGAATGAAGCTTAAAAACAGCCCAAGTGTTTAACTACTGACAGAGAATCTCATATTTATTTAGGTAACATGTTTGTCCCCCTTAGTGTTGTTCTCGAATGACTCAATCTTTACAAAAGATTTCCTTTTTCTCTTTTCTAGCTTGTGTTCCTGCAGCCTGGTTCCCCTTTAGACTTCATCAGTACCATTCCCTACTCATCAGCAATGGTTGCCAATTGTCACAACCAAATTAAGTACTGCCCATGCCACAAGCAAGAAATATATTAATCAAAAACAGCTTTAGTCTGCACTAGGTTAACTAAGAGTTAACTAACAAGAAGATAGTAACAGTTTTTTTGCTGCGCATGTCAAAAAGAAATTATAACTGCGACACCAACATGAAATAGAACTTAGCCTTCTGTGCTGTACATAAATCATTATAATTGGTCAAAGAAAATAAGGAGTAACCCTATGATAACACCCTAGCGAAGACCACTATACAATTGGAGATTCTAATTAAATTTATGACGTGGCGAAAAGCAATTGGCTATTACACAAATAAAACCCGTCTTCACTTCCGTGAAGTGGGAGACCTCCGCGCGCACACCTGAAAAACCTCTGAACGTATGCGTGAGAGTAACTGACAAATTGATCACTTGTCAGTTTCCCCCGTCTCGACCCAATCAGACGTAAATCAACGACCCGCCGGCCCGACCTTCTGCCTGACCTCCAAACTCTTATGCAGACCGACCTACGAACTCTAAGCTGTAACTAACCAAGTACCTTTGACCTCCGTCTTTCACCACCTTGACGGCGTGAGTAAATAATCTTGCTTTGCAACCGATAAGTGTCCGCCTAATTAATTCCACTCCAAGCGTCACAAGTACCCACCTGACGGCCTTCTAAGGCGACGGACCCTTATCTGCCCGGGTGGGAGTCAGGGAGAGCTGCTGGCCGGCTGCCCTGGGTCCCAACACCAATAAGCAGAGGAGGGACACTCCCCTCATTTTACTGAATGAGGACTACTCTATACTACCAAGTTTTGTCATCCGTATTCCAGTTCTGCATGAAAACCTTGTCCACACTCAAAGCTCCTCTGTAGCCTGAGGAACCTCCTTTTCTGCCAGAGTCAATTCGTCTGCAAGCAGCCAGCTTTCTACTGGGTCCCTTCAGCAGTTGATCAGTAGAAATCAAACTGGTGTCCAGAGCAGCCAGCATAAGGCAGGGTGAAATTGCTGCTAGATGACAGATAAGGCAGCCCTGGGCACAGGCATGTCTCAGGGCCTCATTTGACATATACTGCAAGCAGTCACAGAGCTGCAGAGGGTTTATGTCAGAGAGAGAGAGCTGGCATAACACTGCCAGAAGAAACAAGGGGCCCTGCACCTGACTGTGTGTGTGGATGAAGGCAAACTTCTGCCAGAAGAGCTTTACAGCATAAATCAGTTAAGAAGACCATTAGTCCCTTTGACTTTCTACAGACTTTCTGAATTTGCCAAACTAAAAACAAAACTCAGTTTCCAAACAGTTAAAAAAATTATTCGTGTATTTCTAAAGAGCTACAAAATTGGTCTAGGTGGCAGTTCCATCATCAAAGACAAGCCAACAGAAAAGTAGAGATAACAGCTAAACCGCTACCTGGTTCCAAGGAAAAACCCCTAGAAAACAGCTACAACTTACTAGCTCTTCCAAACTGACAAGCTGTCCAAATCCATCAGGTAAATGACTTAACTCATTGTGTTGTACAAGAAGGCTCTTCAAGTGCCTCAACTGTGTCAATTCCTCTGGTATATTTTTCAGCTTGTTATGGCTAGTAATAAGAAAATAATATATTAGTAAGAAGCTATTCTAAAAAGCCAACTTTTAAAAAATATTTTATTACATAGCAACGTACAAGACAAATTTCAGGTGAAAGTACTTTGGACATTAAAATTAAGTGGCTCTTTAACATCTAAGCTTCAGTCTCCTCTTTCTGTACATTTACTTATATGCAATAATACTTTAAACCAGTGTCTGCAGTTAGATATAAACTGGCTGAAAATCAGACACTCTTATTTTACAGGGTATTTTTTTTTAAAGGAAGCTGTATTTTAATTTTTTCAGTCCACAAATTTGATAGTTCTGGTAAGCACAAGAATACAAATTTCTCAACATGAATAAACTAAAAAAAAATATTTTCAAAATATTACTTCTGACAAAAATCACTTTTAATTCTTTAAACTGAAACTGCTAGCTTGAAGAAAGTGAGTACAGAGGTTCCCTTGAAGAATAGGTGAAAATCTAAAAACTACCATAACACTAAGAGAAGTCCCCTCCTAGTCTTATCAAAACCAAAATACTGATGCTTTCATTGTTTCAAGTCGGTTTATAAAAACATTCCTGTAGCGTAACATGATTGAATTTTCGAAACAATGAAGAACTGGATACTCTAGTCTTACTGACTTTTAATGGAAGTTTAAGGAAGATAAGCACCTGTCTTTGCATTCTTGCAAAAGACCACCCTTAGTGCTTTAACTGAGTCTTCAACATACATAATGTACAGCACAATCACTAGGAAATCAAATGGAAATTTTAAAATTGGCCACTATATTTAAATACACAAATAAGCTTTGAGCAGCAATTTCCCGCTCACCGAGTGTAGTTAGAAACAAATCCTATTGGTCTTCATTCAAAAAGCATCATCAATTTGTCTTTAATGATGTCTCCTAAATTCAGCCTACCAGTTTAACATACCACATTCAAAAAAAAAATCCTCTTTCCCCAATTTGTAAATCTGTAATGAGGTTTTTCACAGTCAGTCTATCATAAAAGGGCCTCTGAACAGAGTCTGAGCTCTCATAATTTTGCAAATCTATTTTAGTAAACCTAACTAAGCGTGCTTGTAACACCGTCTCTCTAATCAGTCTTATTCCATCAGAAGTCAGCAGGGTACATCCATCACCTACTAAAGGAGGTCACTAGCTTTAGAAATGTATCAATCAGAAAACTGTAATGAAAACAAACCTGAGAGATCCAGAGGGTTTGGGCTGAAATAAACCTATGAAAGTAATGAGCCATGTCATTGGAATGGAAGTAATGCAAATTAGCAGGAAGAGCAAGATGCGGGAGACTAATTAATACAAATATTATATGATTACAATAGTACAAGTTCCAAAGTTTCAGACGTGCAAAGAGCCTTGCAGGAAGCCCCCTGTTGCTCTGTAATGTTCCTCCACATGACCCAAGGAGTTTTCCTGCACTGTGCTCTTCACACTATCAAAAATCAAAATGGGAGTTTTCAATTTATAAGTTTTACCTTAAAAATATCAAGTTAAAAGAGAAGCAAATTACACAGAACAATCCTGGTTTAAACATTTCCTGCATACAATCTTCAAAGAATTTTTCCTTGACTCACGCCACAAACATAATGGACTATTTAACATATTCATATTTAGTAAAAATGTGTTTACCTAACATCCAGTTTCTGCAGATTTTCCAAAATTCCTATAGCAGAAGGAAGAGCTGTCAGCTGATTATCATGTATCTAGAAAAAGAAATTATTTAAAAATATAATTGCTTGTTAGTACCTTGCATGTTTTTTTCCTACACAAGAAACAAGTTATACTACATCCATATAAATATAATTTTCAGCTCAGACCTGCAGAGCCTCTTGCCAGGGTCAGTTTCACTACCAACAGGAACACTGCAGAATTACCACTCTTAAAGCTTCATTCAGTTGATAATAAAAGCAGTGAGTAGCAGATGTAAAAGCTGATCAAAGAGGTACAAGTGGGAAGAAGAGAGATACAAAAAAACAGCTTCCTCCCTGTTAAGGATAGGAGTCACAGGTAAGCAAGTAAATGTGCAAGTCCTCAAAAATGTAGTTGGAGAAAAACTGTGACTAGCCAAGAAGAAGAGCCTCATATTTGTGAGCCCAACAGCGTAATGGTTATGGCACTTATTCAGGGAGTGAGAGGCCCAGGTCCTAGCCCCCTCTCACAAAAAGAAAATTTGAACTACATCTTTCACTTAACCACCAAGCCATGGGCTAGGTATGACCCAGAGCATGTTTCTTTTGAAGCTAGCCCACTGTATAACCAAGAACTGAATACTGTATATGTAGGGGCAGGGGGAAAGCAAGCCACTGGGAGTGAGAGTCAGTGAGGTAAACACTGCTCTGGAATGGAGGGGACTCACTGATCTAGAAGGACAGGCATAACTGTGAAGCTAGAAATAGGGCTGAAAATCTGCAGAAGTGTCAGAAATGCTATTTACATGGCTACATTTGGAGGTGTAACTGGCACGTTAGATGAAGTAGGATCAGGCCCTTAACTCTGTGGTCTTAATCTTAAAATTAAGAAAAATCAAATACTTAAACAACACATCCAAAACAATTATTCTTAAATGTACTCCCTTATCTTCTTCAAATGTACAATTACTCTTAAATGTGTTCCCTTATCTTCACTTTTATTTTAAGTACCATTGCCTAATTTCAGAAAAATGAACAACATACATACTGATTTAATGCATTTTTATGTTTAGTTTATTTTACCTAGAGTCTTTATACAAACCTTCTTCTGTATCTTGTATTTTATTTTTTATCCCATTTACCTTTGAACTTCTGAAGGAAAAACATTTGAGAGTGTTTAATGGATAGGATTTACATTTTTTTTTAGTTCTTTGGGTTAGAAAAACAGTTCATAATAGACTTTGTAACAATTGGAATGGCCACGTAAAAAAAACACAACACAAACCTATTTCTAACAATAACTTCATATTTCCTTTAAAGTTTTTTTTTAGATACTTAAGGTAATGATACCCTTTTGGTAATACTTCATACAAAAACTTCTTGCTGACCCTAACAGAAAGAAAACTGGCAACCAGATCTAGCTCTCAAACTTTTCAGGAACCGAGAGATAAAAGTTTTCTTCTAAACCAGTTCCAGCCAAATCCAGTGAGAGAG